CAGAGTTAATGAATAAAATGAAGAATGGGAAATTATTCTAGAATATTGTGTTTAATTTTTTTTTTTTTTTAAAGTAGCATTAATTGATGTATTCAAACTCAGTGCCACAACATCCCATGAGGTACAGGGCCTATTGTGCGCATCCCGGTATACGTGGTCATTGGGTGCTGAGGTGCATGAGCAGATGTCCCGATCAGGTGGTCAGTATGAAGCAAGGCAATTCAGGTTTTTAAAATTTTAGTATTACAAACGAAGCCCAGTGGATGAGTGGTAGTGCATCACGCTTTCGGGATTCAAATCTCGGGCTGGGAAAGGTCGACTCAGCCTTCATCCCATCAGTGAGTCGATAAATGAGCACGCTTGTTTGGGAACTAACGACTGGGGGTTTAGCGTCAGACTGACCAATTGGCCGAAACATCTACACATGCACCCCACCGCCTAAGGTCGCGTAGACTGAAGTAGGCTCAGTAGGCCTTGACCCTCATGGGCTGTTGCGTCACTGAGCTAAGCTCAGTTCAGTAATACAAACACCAAGGAATCGTATTATTTCCTACTCAAACCTTGAAATAATATGTTTGTGTTTTAATCATCATATATTCTGGTATTTAAACTAAGAAAAATTTTATAAAAATGCTTTGTTTTATGTTAATGGACAAGATTATAATTCCACTTTCACTGTACAGGAGACCAACTGTGGAGTATATTTTTTACTAGAAAAAGTAAATTGATTCAAATAGTACTGATAAGTATAATATAAAATATGCTAATCTCTTTAAAATAGTGAAGTCAAAATACAGTAGTAGTGTCGTAGCTATTTTCTCTCTGAGAAAATTGAACGGAGTATGGGTCTAATCTTTAAACATTAGAATAGAACCTAACATTAAAAAACAGCTTCAACTTGTAAGATAATAAAGTATTGATTTTACAGTATGTATATGTAAATATAAAATGCAGATTAATTACTGTTTGTATTCGAATGTGAAACACCGAAGTAAGGGCAAACTTTCTGTTTTCTTTATAACCGCATTATTCAAAACTGTGTATTTATATATTTTAGTACATTACAAATATTTTTTTTTATTTTATAGTTTACTTGAAGTTACCACCATTCTTCTGCTGAGTCTACGAGACGTATTAATGAAACATTTAAGGTCTACAACTAAAGTTCGGAACCGTGAATTTGCAAAAGCGTATAACTGGATAATATTTATGATATTTAGTATCACTTAGATTAGAAAATGTACATAAAATTGTTTTAAGAATAGTATTACAATGAAAGTATTACAATAAAAAATATTTAAGTACAATATTTTGACAAAAAATTAACACAGAATGGCCATTTTTCAAAATATTCTCCTTTTGTGAAAAAGGCTTCTATTATAATAGTATTTCGCTGGTATATAGCTCAGACCTCTGTTCAGAGGCTCAACTAGAATTTTTGAAACATATAACTTAGAAGTGGTTTTATCCATGTTTTACGACAACAGAGGGGAGAAATTTTAAGAAAAAAACGCCGATAATTATTTCAATGGAGGGTAACACTGAAAAAAATGTGACTTTTTCAAAAATCATAGTTGAGCCTCTGTGCAGAGGTCTGAGCTATATACATGCAAAATATTATTATAATAGAAGCATTTTACAAGCTTTTATTTAACTTGAAATGTAAAATGCTCGGATAGAATCTTGCAACTCAATTGTGAAGCTGATGTCTTCAACCGATTGAGGTGAAATTTAGTATACACGTCTAGTTTGAAAGACAATGCATGTTTTGATTATTTATATTTCGATATCGACCTAGTTACTGCAAGGATCATGTTCAGGTGTTAAGTCGAGGATGTTTACAATAACAAAGGTGTGAACCAGGGGCGTAGCTCAGATGGTAGAGTGCTCGCTTCGCGTGCGAGTGGTACGGGGATCGATGCCTCTCGCCTCCAATCATCTTTTTTTCGTGTAAAATATTTTTGAAATTCGTTTTATTTGTACATCGAAGTATTTTACAATACATCCACACTCACCATACGTACAAAGTATGTTAAATTTTTACTGTTCTAGAGGGAACACTAATAAAGGCATATATTATCAAGCTATTTCTATTTACTTTAAATCATTCTATGATATCTATTTACTCGATTCTACTTTCTCCCGTAACACTTTTAATTGACCTAGTCACTGTAACGATCTTGTTCAGGTGTTAAGGCGAGCATGTTAATAGTAACACGTTTCGACAGGGGGCGTAGCTCAAATGGTAGAGCGCTCGCTTAGCATGCGAAATGTACGGGAATTGATACCCCACGACTCCAATTATTCTTCCATGTAAAATATCTTTGAAATTAGTTTGATTTATACAACGGGGTATTTTACAATACTTCCACTCAGCATACGTAAAAAGTATGCTATATTACAAGCTTTTATTTAACTTGCAATGTAAAATATGTTCGGGTGGAATCTTGCAACTCATGTCATCTTGTCTTGACTCATCAACTGATGTCTTCAACCGATTGCGCTGCAATTTTGTATACATGTTTAGTTTGGATGACAATGCATGTTTTGACCATCTATATCCCGATGTCACAATTAGTTAAAAATATATTAATTAAAGTATAATTTTTTTTTGTTCGGGTTGAGTCCTGCAACCCAATTTTGAAGTGATGTCTTCAACCGTTTCAGCTGAAGTTTTGTATACACGTTTAGTTTGGATGACGATGCATGTTTTGATTATTTATACTCCGATATCGCAATTAGTTTTAAAAAGGTATTCATTAAAAAAATTTTCCCCACGTTAGAAGCTTAATTTGCCTTTTTTCACGAGCCCTCGTGAACTAGTGGTAACAGAAGCTGACTTCAAGTGAATTGCCCCGGGTTCGATTTCCGGGTGCTCGCAATTTTTAAATTTACTTTAAATCACTTGAATTTTTTTTCGAAAATTATTTCTCTTTATAACATTTATATTTCCACGTTTTTTCCTGTTTTTTACAGGCTTTTATTTAACTTCCAATGTAAAATGTTTGGGTGGAATCTTGCAAATCATTTTTGAAGCTGATGTCTTCAACCGATTGAGCTGAAATTTTTCATACGCGTTTAGTTTGGATGACACTACATGTTTTGACCATTTATATTCCGATATCGCAATCAGTTAAAAATATATTAATTAAAGTCGCCTTACTCATGTTAGCTTTTTATTGTGCCTTGCATCTTATCGGATTAAACTTAAAAAAATTCCGATTTTTCGACCTTTTTTAAAATCCCATCTCGTTCTTTGAATCAAACTGAGACAAAAAATTATTACATAATCGGAAAGATCATTTATTTCGTCACTATACGGTGTAATAATTTTTTAAAAAAAATAATGATATTTTTTATTTTAGACAATTTTTTCTAAAATGCATTTTTATGAAAATGATTTCTTAATCGCTCCGTATGAATTTTTTTTTTCGTATTAATGGATCGATATTCTGCATTTAAAATGTTCGCGCTTTTCTCTTTTAGAGAGAGAGAGAGGAATCAGTCATTTAAAAAATAAAATACCAAAAACCTTATTTTTCTACGATATTTCAAAAAATAACCAAATTTTTAATAAAACATATAAAAACTTCTTTTTTCTTAACGATAATCGCATGAAACTTTTTTTTCGTTTTTAGAATAGTATCATCCAAATACTGCACAAAGATGTAGAAAAATGGCTTAAAATTACGGATTAAAAAAAAAAAATTTTGTTTTTCGTTTTTAATATATAGTATTATAGTAAAAGCAAAAAACAAAAACAAAAAAACAAAAAGAAGAGCTTTAATACTTTGATTAATTTTACTTTGTGCAATGTTGTTTTGTTCTTACAGTGTTTATCCCCGTCTCCCATTATCCTCTTGTTGTGGCTCGAGTGAAATATCTGGCATATGTACGTGGCCCTGCGGGGAAAAGATTGAGTACCCCTGAGCTAGCCTGTTCAAAATTACCCGGCACACGACCTTGCAACAATGATGCGTTGAATGAGATGAATAGACTGAGAAACCTGTCCAGCGATAACTAAAAAGTTAAAAATAAATTAAAAGTAAAAAAAACACTTTTTTTTTAAAATCAAGCTTTTATTTAAATGCTCTAAAAAGAATAAAATAAGATTTTCTTTTAAAATTTTTTTTTTCCTATCAACTTATAACATCATTACACAATTTATGACATAAAAGCTTGTCCCGAGATTTACAAACGTAGATAAACAAGCAAATTAATTAACTTGATCTGATTGATTTTAATCTTTAAAATTTTCAATTTAAGTAAATACGTGTACTTAAATCTCGCGACAAGCTTTTATATCATAAATCGTGTAACGATAGCAAATAAGTTGAACGATAAGTTGATAAGTAACGATAAGTTAATAGCAAAAAATGTTTCAAAAGAAAAGTTTATTTTATTCTATTTAGAGCATTTAAATAAAAGCTTGTTTTTAAAAAAGTTTTTTTTTTTTTTTACTTTTAATTTATTTCACACAAAAAAATATATTGAATAAAGGTTATTTTAAGTTAATTTTTTGCCGAAATATTGTATTTAAATAATTTTTTTCTGTCGAAATGTCCTTAAAACAATTTTATACATGTATTCTAATCTAAGTGACACTAAATATCTTGAAATTTATCCATTTATGCGGGTTTTTTTTAAAAAATCACGGTTCCGAACGTAATCGGATTCCTTAACATTTAGATCCCGTCGAATAAAAATAAGGAAACCTAGTTATTTCCCATTTATTAGCTTTTATATTCTATCAAATAAATACTTCAACATCAAATTAAATTTAATTCCCATTAGTTCTCATTCTTCTAGACAATAATTTCCCCTCTCTTCTCTCTCTTGGCAGTTTTATCCCTTCCTACGCAAGTGACAACCATTAAAAGTTGAGCAAAAGTGCTTAATGACTTGTACAGCAGGGATTCCTTTCCATCCCATTCCTCTAATGCAGCGGTTCTTAAACTGGGATTCGTGGCCCCCAGAGATCTCTAAAGCATTTCTGGCGTGTCCGCGAAGGTATCTCTTTTAATGTTAAAAGAATTCCCCTTTTTTTACAAACTCTGAAAGTCCACATAGAAACATTGAAAGATGTACCATCCTAGACTAGATCACTAATTAATACAGTTTACAATATCTATTTATTTGTTGTTGCTGTGTGTTTTTATCCTGGCATACATATGAAATACAAGTGGAAGAACAGAAACATGCAAGACAAACAGAAAAATATAGACATTTATTACAAATGATGATCCCAGCATATGAAATACAAGTGGAAGAAGAGAAGAAGAGGTGCGCTGCTTTCCATTCTAGAAAGGAATCCATTACAGGCGAAAATCCGACTTCTTGTCCCAAAGGAAATACACCCATGCCTTACTCGGAATTCGAACACCAGCCTATTCGGTTACAAGCCGAGGGTCATATCCACCATATTGGCTGGGTTGCTCTTATTTATTTAAAATTAGTATTTTGTAATACCTCAACTTGTGTTTGAAATAAGAGAGAGGAGTTCAAAATCTTGGAGATCTGCTACATAATGGAAGGTCAAGGAAATCGGAAACTGAAG